TATATATATATATATATTATCCATACCAGCCGTACCTCTCTATTTTTTTTAAAACATATATATAATAGTTAGTTAATTACTTAAAAATAATGATTCATAAATTGCATCAATCATCAAATTGATTAAGATATTAAATTAATATGTTAGAATCAAATCGATGAATAACTAATTAAATTACGTGAGATAATTTTTGTTATAAAAAAAATTCATGTGATGTAGTAAACATTAAAGCACACCAAAAAAGTTATAGTCCTAGTTCGATTCTCCACATGCAAGTTTATGATATGTTTTGATTTAATTGCACATATTAACAATAACTAATAAAATTGGGAGAAAAAGATCATTAGTCCAACCAATTCTTTTCTTTCAAATCAGATGTACAACCAAGCAAATTAGAAAAATGATAGATCCTTTGAAAAGGATTTTGAAAATCATTCCGAATAAATAAAATATTAATTTAAATTAAAAAATATTTATATTTTAACATTTCGGAGGATATTTCAGAGATTGTTTTCTGAGTATGAATCATTACTCATCAAATTATTAACTCTAATCGATGTACTATCCGAATCTCGATTGAATTGGTTTGACCAATTAATCCTAACCAAATTTTAAGCTCTGCCTAGAAAGTGCATAAAAATTTACATAAGAAGTTGTAACTCAAATCTTATTAGACTCAATTTAATAATGTTTCGTCTTTAGGGTCATTAAAAAAAGTTTATTACGAACAGATAAATAAACAAGTTAAAATTTTAGCCCCAAAAAACACTATAAGATCACACAACACCATCTAGCTTTTCCACGCACAAATAAACTTTTTTCAGTGAGAGAAGTGACATTCTCAGGAGATGGGATCCCAAACACAGTCTCAACTTCACGTTGTTGACTTCACTGATGAAAACATGAAGCCTGGCACTGACACGTGGCTCTCGGTATGCAGTGTTGTGAGGACTGCACTTGAGGACAATGGCTGCTTCGTGGCACGCTATGATCATATTGGCAAAGAGCTTTGTGACTCTGTTGTCTTTGCAATTGAAGAGTTATTCAGTCTTCCCTTGGAAACAAAAGTTCAAAAGATTAGTGACAAACCTTTCTTCGGCTACTTGGGACAAGTCTCAATTGTACCCTTATATGAATCATTGGGAATTGATGACCCCTTGACCTTACAAGGCTGTCAAAAATTCACACACGTAATGTGGCCAGAGGGGAATGATCGTTTCTGGTACGAACCCTTTTCAATTTCCATACAGATTTCTGATTTCATGTGTAATTTAAATCATCATGGACCCAAATCTATCCACTTTGTGTGTTTAATTCTATGTTCCTCCCATTAAAAAGTGATATATGATTAAAAGGATAGTAACATTATATAATACTATTTTGTTAACTACATATTAATTTTCTGTAAATTTTGTTTATATTATGATTGTGAAGAGTTGCTCATGATAGATGTTCCATTTTCCATATAGTGAAAGAATCAATGAGTATAGTAAGGAGTTGGCAAAATTAGACCATATGGCGAAGAGAATGGTGTTTGAGAGCTATGGTGTGGACATGCAACGATGTAATTCAATGATAGAATCAAGCGATTATCTCCTTCGATGCATGAAATATAGAGCACCTCATATGGATGAAGATCATGCGGGAATGCATTCTCACTCGGACTTGACCATCATATCCGTAGTACATCAGTTGAATAATCTAAATGGCTTGGAAATCAAACTCAAAGATGGGGAATGGCATGGGGTTGATGCCTCACCCTCCTTGTTTGTAGTTATGGCTGGTGATGCATTAAATGTGAGTATACCATCACAATAAGTATATTTTAAAGTAATTAATTATCATTAACTTCAGTCAGTTCATATAAAATTGAAGTGATTATCGATATTTATCAAAAGAACTAATATATTTTAAAATGTTTATTTCTTTAAATTATTAGAATTATATTATAATATCGTATCAACTTTTTCTTTTAAAAAATATACAAAACAAAAAAAATATGAAAATTACGTGGTGTAGGAAGGGGTATAATTTGTCCCTTTAAATGAATGAATTTATTTTTTAAATTGAGAGTATTTAATAGTTATATTATTTTTACATTAATCTTTTTATATAATATTCTTTTATAAATTTTTATGTGTCTCCTAGTTATGAAATTGTTATAGAAATTAGAAAAAGATTGTGGGAGTAGAATTTCGAATTCTCCACATTAACTCTCTTAAGTTGTATGTATTGAATAATAATTATTTTGAAATAGAATATTTAATTAAGAAAATCTAAAAGCTTGTGTTCAATATGATTAAGTTGATGCATTTTGATGGGGTAGGTGTGGAGCAATGGGAGGATACAACCATGTGAACACAGAGTTACAATGAATGCAAAGAAAAACAGATACTCTACGGGACTGTTTTCTTTTAGTAGTAAGATGATGAGTATACCGGAGGAGGTAGTTAATGAGCAACATCCCTTGCGTTATAAACCACTCTTCGACCATTATGAATACCTTCGTTTCTATCAAAAACATAAAATCAAAGAGCCTCATTCTCGAATCCAAACATATTGTGGAATCTGAACCCTACAGTAATAAAGGAACTGTTTGTGCCCATTGCTTTTGTCTATGAATCAGTTCAATAACTGTGCTTTCTTACCAGGGTTATGAATAAGTGCACTTTTTATTTTGTTAATAATTTGTGAACCACTGTTGTAAATGATGCATTAATCCCTTCAGCTTCTTGTTGGGTGAACAATGTCGGAGTCTAAGGGGTTTGCGGCATATGTACGAGCAGAATGTATTGAAAAATATATGTAATTATGGTTTCTGGTTAAAAATTATATTTGAGGTTAAATTAAATTAAAATTTTATTTCTTTTATTATTTCCAATTTATGATTTTGGTCCTTTAATTTTGGTTTTCCAATATTTTAAATGATGCAATTTTAATTTCTTCCATCAATTGACTAATATTGGTTACGTTTATTTGATGATGATATGTCAATTTGAGATTTTAATTGCATAAATTTAAAAATTGAAAAAATAAATTAAATTATATAATTAAAATAAAAATAGAGAGATCAATGTATATATTAGAAATTATAAGAGAATTAAAGATATAATTTAACCTAATTTTTTTAATGATTAATCACTTATTACGAATTCTTAAAATTTGAATTTATATGAAAAATATTATCATATATCATATATTTCATCAATAGAAATTAGTTATTAAAAAAATAAATTAATTAAACCTAAATTCTTGTGCATTTATCACCTTTTATGATTCTAGTTTAATAGTTATACTAATTTTAATGATTCAATTTTTAAGATATAAATAAAAGATTAGTAAAAAATTTGTTAGATTGATAAAAATAAAAATAAATAGAGTTTTTCTACTTCAATTAGAGAAAAACTAAATATATGTTATAAAAACTTGTTATTAATTTAAAACTAAATTTTGCTTAAAAATCTAGCTTTTATTGTATTATTTTTATCCCTACTATACACATACCAAGTATGAGGAAGAAAAAACTAGTACTCAATTTCACCTTCTAAAGTTTTTTATTATCAATTTTTTTTTATGTTTCTATGATTTGAAAAAAGAATGTTAGATGTTAAAAAAAATATGAAAATAAAGGAAACTGAGGTTATTTGGCTTTACTTAAAAAAAATGTCATTATTTTCGTTTTATTTCTTATTTTTAAAATTGTATATAATAAAAATATTTTTTTAATGGGTTGTGCCTTGCACTAGGCATGACAATTTGAAATGGTTCGTAATCATTGTTGAAACCAAAAACTAAGTTTATGAAGTTAAATAACATGCACATTAAAAAGTTAAATAACAAACATTGAAGACATTATAGTTTAATACAATGAGTCTATTTAAATCGATGTTTAATTAGATTTTATAAAGAATTATTTAGACTATGTTTAGTTGCATGTTTGAAACTTGTAATCTCAGTTAATTGATTTCAAATGTAGTACCTATTTGTTTAAAAAAAAAAAAAAAACTTCATTCCGTTGATATATAAATTACATGTAAATTTCAATTGAATCAAAAGTTAAAAGAATGTTTCTTTTATTTAGAAGTTAGTTTAAAAAATTAACTTTAACTCAATTTAACATTATAACTATAATCAAAATATACATTCAGTAACTCATTTTGACCTATATGTTCAAACATATTCAACACCGAAGTAAAATAGTTTTTGTTGTATCAAAATAAATTGTCTGATCTTTATAAAAGCATTTATACAAAATGAATCTTAGACTGTTGCGTATCATATACCTCTTAGTATTATAATGAACATGAAATTTTTTGTTAGAACTTCTCATGGAAGGCATGAAAAATCACACATTTTTGGAAGGCATGAAAATGCAACTTTGTGACCTAACCAAAAGTGACAGAGACACTTCTTAAACCCGCTATGATAGTTGTAACAATGTTTTTCGCTCTCTTTAGCCTAGAGGACAAATTAAAGACTTCTTGTGCTATGCACTAAGAGGTGCCTGCTATAATGGTGTTATGTCCTCTCAAGTCTCAATGTATCTCTTTGCCAATATTTAGAAGCTCAAACGATGAAGAGAGTGTTAAAGATCATTGAAAAAGTTTGACATATATATTTCATACAAGTGATAACAACAAAGTTTCTGAAAACGCACAAAGACTAGAAATTTAAAACTACACAGAATTGCTTCGTCAAATTTCTCGCTAACATGACAATTAACTACTAATATTCGCACATATAAAAAAAAAATTAACGTGAAAAAGTGAATACTTTTCTTAAAAATGAGAATGCAAAATCAAACATGCCGACAGACTAGTGGAATATAATAATTGCAAAACATCCATAGACTAGTTAAATGAAAAAGTGATAAAATTAAAATTTGCTTTGGTACGAAATCTTCTCTAAAGAAAATCGAGCGGTCGTACAAATTCAAGACATTTAAGTGTAAAAATCTTAAATATAACTTTATATACTTATTTACATAGCTCAGTCATTATTTTAAGAAGTTTTGACTTAAATCTTGGATATCTTGACCTGAATCCTAAATTCTTTAACTTAATCACCTATGATCTTAAAGAACTTTTAAGATTGTATATGGATAATTCACCATTGAAATCTCATTCTAATCGAATTGGGTTGGGTCAACTCTGTTGTGAGAGTTGCAACATGATGAATTGACAAATTTTAGAGGAAGATACATCCCAAAAAGTGTTATCTATCTTCCTTATAAAATTATTGGATAAATACAGACTATTACTCAAATCGAAAAGATATATAATCCCCAAACATCATACACAAAAGCACGAGGAAATTTAATTACATAGAACTATCTTTCACTTTACATTAACACCTTAGAATCGGATACGATAAAGTACCGTTGTTAATTTGAAAATGCAAATAAAACTAAATATACTAATTGGATAGAATAGTTTCAACATACTCAAAGTAGTTAAATAAATTTAACCATGCACAATAATATTTAAGTAAGTCTCGTAACGACCTTAACACAAGCTAAAGTTTCGTGTTAAATCCTCGCAACATATCCATAAACTAATTAACTATAGGTGGGTTATGAGCTTGCAGTTGGCGAGCAAGTCTCTCTACATGTGGATGGTAGTTATTTGGGACAACCTTCCCTGCTAACTTTGATGGGTTGATTAGGAATTCTATGAATGCTTAGATTAAGGGGTTTTATGGTAATATAGGTGATGGGGTTATTTTTATGGTAGTTGTCTGAGAGGATATTTTATGAAATATTTTTATAAGGTTATTACACAAACATAATCCACAATGATGAGATATTGTCCGCTTTGGACCTTAGCCCTCACGGTTTTATTTTTGGTCATTACCCAAAAGGCCTCTCAATCATTGAAGTATATTTGTATTATATAAGTTGTTATTTGTTATTTTTTATCGATGTGGGACTTGTTTGTATCCCAACAATAGGTATTACAAATAATAGAAGAACGAAGTTAACTCAAATATTATTTGACTTACTCTTGCTTGGCATCTTGATTATAAAGATATTTTGTGTTTCTAAGATTCTGATTATACTTTAATAGTGTAATCCTCTTGTGATCATAGACACCGTTTTAATACTCTTGTTTATCATATCCAGGAGCTACTTCACGGAGATTCACAAATTCAATTGTATTATATATTAAGAATGGATAATCAATATACTGACTTCATAGCTATACTAGAGTCAAACACTACTTTTGTATATTTAGAGTTGGATTCAAGATCACTTAATATGTATTTAGTTTAGATTTTCAATGTAATAAATTACATTAGAATAGAAATTATCAGTTATAAATTATAATTTTTACGTTTTAAATATGATTTTTCTCTAAATCATGTTTTGAACGTGTAACTAAACATACATTTAATTTAAAATGACTCCTTTTGGCTTATGTAATAAGAGTGCACTTTCTACTATCGTAATTTTTATTTATTTATTTACACTCCTTTAAAAAAAAATATAGATGCAGCCTTTTTTTTTTTTTTTTTTCTTTTAAGGGTCATTAGAAGCCAAAAGTCTTAAGTGGCTGTGCCTGTACTGTGACAGTAACACATACCCACCCTATATAATCAACACAACTATTTGACAAAAAAAGCTAATTCCTTGAAAATATGACTTTCATCATTCGTACTTATTTTTCTTTTTACACATTTTAGAAATATCAAATAAAAATAACTAGACTAGTCCCAATAATATAGTTCCAGTAAATAATACTTACTACTCTCACAAGTCACAAGATTCAGAATTAACTTTTATTCTTTCATCTATATATACAAAAAAAAAAAAATATTCTTTCCAGAAAATACTCAAACCTTGAAAACTTTTATCAAGTATATCTCCTGACACGCATAACATATATTTGGTTTTGAAATTATGTCAAGTGCACAAAGACTAGAAATTTAAAACTACACAGAATTGCTTCGTCAAATTTCTCGCTAACATGACAATTAACTACTAATATTCGCACATATAAAAAAAAAATTAACGTGAAAAAGTGAATACTTTTCTTAAAAATGAGAATGCAAAATCAAACATGCCGACAGACTAGTGGAATATAATAATTGCAAACAATTAACTACTAATATTCGCACATATAAAAAAAAAATTAACGTGAAAAAGTGAATACTTTTCTTAAAAATGAGAATGCAAAATCAAACATGCCGACAGACTAGTGGAATATAATAATTGCATCCCCTGAAGATTACGAGTGTACCCTCAGGCAGGTACACTTCTCAAATAGTCTGTCTCTAGATGAACCCTAGTTGATCTCTCAAACTCATTGAGTTTCTTGAGTGTTTGAGTTAAACCTGTCTATAATCAATATACCCTCGTCCTTTATGAGTTAATCAATTCATATACATTATTATGAAAAGCCTAATAAAGAGACTTTATAAAAAAATAATACTCGAGTATTTCAATCTCATCAAGTTGGGATTTTGTAATTGTAAAGCATGCTGAGGCTTGGAAAATATTGCGTACTCTTGTTTGAGTAGTAGACACACAAAAGAAGAGGGATTTTATAATTTTAAATCTCAACAAAAAGCATTTTAATTAGGTCAGGAATATCCTTAGCAAGGTTGCATTATAATGAGGAAGCAATCATACAATAAAAGACGAGGGATTTTATAATTTTCTTCAAATGAAAATGATAGGTTTTGCTGCGAAAAAAAATTAGAGAAATAATTTTTAATTTCTATAAAATAAGATGTTTCTACTTTTAGTCTTTAAAAAAATAGATGCAATTACAAGAAAATTGTCATATATATGATACAAACCCTATAGTGACATAAAAATTATTTCTAAAAATTACTTTTATCTACACAATAAATATAATATATATTGATATATTATTATAAAAGTGTAGATATAAATTATAATGATATATAAAATATGTTATTAAATTTTATTTAAAATCACATTAATATTATGTGCAACTATATTAAATAAATATATACCTACATATATTATATTTATAATGATATTATTTTATATATTGTATGGAATATATATATATATATATATATATATATATATAATATTAGT